CCCCCCCAGAGCGTCGCCTGCATCCTGCCCCCCCCACCCATTTCGCGTATCCCACGCGGGCGGTATGCACTCTTGGACGGGGGTAGGTGGTTGGAACTGGAACAGTAGTGGCTTGGGTGCTGATCGTCGTGCTGAGGAACAACCGCTGAATCGGCGTCCATGGTATACCGTTGGCGGGGCGAGGGCGGGGTTCGGAAATACCACTTCAATTACCCCTGCGGGGGCAAGAGCTTCGGGAAAAGCTTATACATGTAGCACGTTCGTAGACGAGCGTTGACGCGGCGAATGTGTTAAATCGCTGCTGAGAAACCGACCCCAGGTCTGGTATCAGCTCCTTGACCCTTCAGCTCTTGCCTTGTTTGTTGGGCGGAGGAGTCGAATGTCCCCTACGGGGAACGCCCAAAGGAATCTCAGACCCGTGTGGAGGACCTACACTGTAGCTTGTACTGGTGACCTAGACGAAGTTGTCGCCTGTGTGTTGTTCCTTTGGCTCTAAACCCTAAACGGTGCTACTGCTGCAACTGCTGTGTAGGCGGGACTCGATTTTGCTGCCTGAGGTACCGTAAGGTAGTTCTACGCTTGCCGACCCCATGGGTGGTGTGTTGGAGTCGGCCTAGGAAGCAACAGGAGAATGCGGAAGGAAATACGTGCGCATTACATAGATGTCGCAGGTTGTTTCCACCGTGCCTTTGACTCCAAGCTGCAGAGCACCAACATGGCCAAAGCTCCATGGAAATCGGGTACTCTGCCGCGGCGTCTTGAGTGATTTGTCTCAAACATGTTTAGTTTCCCATTTGTTTTTGGTTTTCTTGAGGAGGCCGAGATGCAATGTATCGGGGTGATCCAGGATACTTCTGCTGTTGTTGTTGTTGTTGTTGGTTGTTGCTGTTGTTGAAGATACCCTTTTGGATGAAGGGGGTGCGGGGGATCTCTGACAGAAAGACATTAACCCTGCTTGTGCGGAGCCCAGCTACCCAGCTGGTACGCACACGATAGACATGATGAGCTTTGTCTTTCTTCTTATGCTAGCTCGTTCAAGTAAGGAGGAAGAATTTATGGGGGGGTGGGTGGCAGCCTCGTGGAATCACAGAAACAAGTTGGAGTCGTGATGCATGCCCAGCAAGTGAATCTGTCCAAGGCAAGTGGGAGGCGGGCGAAGGGTTTTAGGAATCGGCTGTAATTCTACTGTATTTTGTGGACACAGAAGTATGAGGTTTCACTCACCAAGCTTGAAGTACGAGCGGAGGAGGGGAGGATGACGCTCTGGATTATGATTTCGTTACTCGCGAGATTGTGGTGTCATCTAGTCTGTAGACCGTACCCGACGTGCGGGGGCGCGCGATCGATCGTTGTTGTTGATATCGAAGTTTCTGTTTTTCGTTTCAACGTTTGACACAGTATGGTGAAGGAGTCGTCTTATATTCATCTACTTGAGAAAGATGGACTTGCTTGTGGAGAATAGGTAATGAGAACCACGGAGGAGAGGCATAGAACAAGTTTCTTCAGCTGTTTGCTGACATCACGAAACGAGTACCCATTTCGGTGCTGTGTGCTGGTATTGTATGTTGTTGCATCGTGGCATACGGTTTTCCTCCACTCACTGGAAAGACTCCACCACATCCCGTTCGACTACTGTGGGTATGTCTCGAACGGGTAGTCTTCATGTGTGTATATATTTTTCCTACGATGGGTTCTGGAGAGAGTTATCCCAGTCACCATCGTCGACCGGTACACAGAATCACTGTGCGACTACCGCAAAAGACGAGAGAGGTTGATTGAACAATCACACCACGTCGCCAGGAATATCCACAATTAAGAAGATCGGACGATAGCCTCCTTTTAATAGCACTCAATCCAAATAAATCCTTCAAACATGTTGTACCTACCTGGTACAAGACAGATTGTCAAGGGCAGCAGCTTCTTCAGTATGGTTTCATGTTCAATCCTCACGCGCCAGCGATTAACATCGCTTTCGCTTGCTCGCTCGGCCTGCTCATGTATTATGACGCAACATACATACCAGAGCATGCTACATGCATCGCTGTCCTGAAGCCTTACCCTGCCCACATCGAAAAATAAATCGTACCCATTTCACTGCTAATTTCCTTGAGCCAGTTATTCTGCGTTATAGCACGAACACGACAACAACATGCAAGGCGAACACGACACCGTGTTCTGCTTTGTGTTGCTTTGTACCAGAGGTGGTATTATATTGTTGTCTACCATGCATGCTATGCGTAACCCCGGCACACTCTGTAAATCAATCGCGATCGATTATCGGCGTATTATATCCGCATCGAAGACTTAAATACCATTCCCCGGACATGAGGCTCGCATCTTCGCTTAGATGTTGAAAAGTTGGGCGTGTATTATAAATTCATCCATGGATGGGGTGTTCCGCGGTAAAGACGAATAGTTTCCACGAGTTTTTCAATGAGCAGCAAGAAATGGTTCCCAACCTCTGGAAATTTGCACCAACATCCGGATATCGTGGCGATGACTTATTGATGAATCAGTGGCCAAAATTGGGTGAAAATCGCGTCTGCGCCCCCCCCGAGCAAGTTGCAAACGCCTCCGAATCGTATAAAATTTTCAGGTTAGGGTAATAATGTGTTGTACATCAAGAATCCGCCGTCAAAATTTCGATCAGGATCGATGCGGCCGTGATACAGCTACGCACTGATATATATGCGCGAAAGCAGGGATAACCTGGAATTACGAGGAATTGCACTGAAATATCCCCCCTCCCGCAACACTTCCTACATGTTGATTCAATCTCTCCTGACTTCGTTCGGATTAGTTAGGGTAATAATTTTGGGGTGGAGATCACAAATAAATATATTATTGTTGGAATGTCCCAGTTTTGATTTGCAATGGACTTTCAGCTGCTCAAAAGCTTACACAGTAGCTGAGCAATTTCAAAATTCCTGGGATTTTGGATTCTCGGTTCCCACGTCGAGTTTTTGTCTGATCAACTTTCTGAGTGGCTAATCGGCCAAGCGGAATCGATTGCCGAGGAGAAATGGAGGCGCCGAAATCAGCAACGAACGCAGTGAAAAAAAACAATCAATCAAGGCGATCCGATCACATTTTTTTGTTTCAATTTTTGTTACGCTTTTAAACGTCGTTTTAGACATGTATCCAAAAACGGTTTTTTCATTCGAGTTTTTCCTCGCCGCGGGAGAAACAATTCGTCCTTACCGCGGAACACCCCCATGTAAGTGTCCCAAGTTTTACTTACAATATCCTCCGAAATACAGCGAGTTCACGACGACTAAATGCAATATCTCGACAGTTTCGGCGAACGAACGTGCCGCTGCCAAAAAAATGAACTCCCCCCTGACGGGTCTCCATGATTTCGCGTTGCCTCCCGGCGTATTGTGGAACCAGCGCAGGCGTCGCTGCTGTCTGCTGTTGCTGTGTCGACCAAACGAGATAGATCACTTCCAGCGGTAGTTCACAAGCTCACGTCCGTCTCTTCGCTCTGCCTCAACTCTGGTTTCCCCCCTGCCAGCCCGCCGCTCGGTCGAAAGCGAAGAGGACAAGAGACTTTTCATTTTTTGTGCACGTGTCATCAGCGGCGGGGCATGCATGGGCGGTCCTGATAACATCGACAGGAGCAGCATCATCAGCAACGGAGGGATGTCTAACCACGACATGCCTCTACCCTCCTCTGGGCCGAACTGCGACATTCATAAGCGAGTCACGCGGGCGTCTGCTGCTTCCGCTGCCGCTGGGGTGAGTCCGCGGGTTTTGGACGCAGACACGAGCGGGAGCAAGTTGAGGATAGATTTGTAGGAGCTGGGCGAACCTATAAAGGTCCGGAGGTCGGAGGCACTGATGTATTGGGAGAGCCGAGAAAGGCCCTTGGTTCTGTGGGCGGAGTGCGTGAGAGTGAGAGACAGTGTATGCTGCTTCTTGACACGTCGTGATAGCGTCGGACCCTCGCAAGACCTTCAGGAGGGACTCCAAGCTGCGCCCCAAAAGCCTGACGTTCCCAACTGCTGCTGTACACAAACCAGCACCAACTACACTTGCTGCAACTTTGTGTGCATACGGCACATGTTTGTTGTTGACGCGGCGCGTTACATACTGATGATGTTATATAACGACAGCACCCCTTTTGTGTTCCGCCCCGCGTCGATGCTGCTCCTGAAACTGCTGCTCCTTGGGCGCTGTATTGATGCCCTTGCACGCCAGTCTCACGCCAGCAACGGGAGCAGCTCGGCAACAGGGAAAGCCCCTTCCTCTTCCGCCTACTCAGCCGCGGACACAAACGGAAACTCGTGCTCGCAGGACTCAAGCAGACGACAAAAACCACCGACGTTGTCGGCGTCGACCTCCTCCGCGTCGTCGTCGTCGTCGTCGCTTCCAAAACCCGCCCCACATCACCACCCCAACTCCAAGTGGACATGGGCCGGCTACCTCCTCCTCCTTGCGGTGACCAAGTACACCCTGCCGGACGAGCTGCACACCTCCGCCCCTACCCTGAAGCACGTCTGGTTCTACGGCTGGGTGACCGCCCTCAGCACGGGGGTGGGCGCCGCGCCCCTGATCCTCACCCACGACCTCGGCAAGGCGATGCTGGCGTACGGCAACGCGATCGCGGCCGGCATGATGCTGAGCGCGAGCTTCAGCCTGGTGTCGGAGGGGGCGACGGTGGTTGAGCCGAACGGGTCCACGGCCGAGTGGTCGGCGGTGTTCGCGGCGTTCCTGGGGGCCCCATGGGCGAGGGTGGTGCTTGGGGTGGTGGCGGGTCTTGTCTTCATCCTCTCCACCAAGAAGGTATGCAATGCAGTGCACGGGTCTTCCTTCCTTTCAGGCTACAGTGCTGCTGTATCATTTCTTTCGTGCTCTGTATGCGTGCTGCCGCTGCTGCCGCAGCTGCTTCGGCATCTGGTACGCAGCCGCAGGATGCGTGTTGATATATGTTCCACTTAGGGGGGGGCGAGGGGATGTTTCTTCGTTTGTGCCTTGGTGGTGAGGGTGCGTACGCGGGCTCAATACCATATATCTTGCAGCACCCGCTTGAAACGCAGTGTCGGTTGTTGAGATAGAGAACAAGTTGCCGTTGAGGTCAGAAGGCCCGAGAGAGTCGCCGTACTTCTCCATCACTGGCTCACATGGCTTGATAAAGCCTCGAAGTGGTTGGTGCATTCACCCTCGAGAGTCTGCCGTCTGTTCCCATGACGAGAACCCGATGGTGTTCGCATACTTGCTTAGAACTTCAAGCATTCAGACGACAGCTACAATACCGGTTGTGCGTCCATTCAAGGCATGTTGTCGACATGTCAACAGAGTGACAGCGGTATCGTTTGTTTGCTCCTGTCGGACACCCGCAGCGCCGCGGGGTGTTTGCTGTCGGGTGCATGTAGCAGGGTAGACAGCATCGCTTCTGCAGCGCCAGCATCGTGTGCGAAGTTTTTTTCGACGCTGTTTCTGTGTTTGACGAGCGACACCCTCGTGTTCATCCGTATGCATTATAATCGCGGACGGTTGTGATGTGGGATTGCAGACGTTTTTGTGGGCCAAGTCGAAGCCTCCTTCGTTTCCTTGCAAGTCGAGTATATAGGACGAACAGCCAACGGAAAAATGTTGTCCGTGGTCCTGTGGTGGCGGGCAAGGTAGTATTGGCATGCACCAAAGTGGCTGCTGTAGCTGACGGCACAGCACAAGACGGTAGAGGTGCATGAGGTGCATCGATCTATCAAGCGCCCCTTTTCTTCTGGCCTCCCTCAGTATCCCACGCCGGCGAAACGCAAACGCAGTTTTTCTACGGTATTTCGTCGACGCAGTAGAAGCCAACGTGGTCGGGTTTGTCTTCGATGTTTCGACGCTCTTTATTTCAGACGGGACCCATCCATCGGAAGCCCTCTGAACACGTCTCGTTGTTGCAGCAACAAAAGAGCCAAGGTTGCAAACCTTCCCCGTGTGCACGCCGCCACTGGTGTTGTGAATCTCCGCACACCTGTCGACCAATAAAAGGCCAGGGAATTCAGCTTGTCTTCATTTGCACGGTGCTGATTGCCACTTCTCTCTGTGCGTTGGCATCGTCGCGGTTTTGTCGTGTGGTCCGGGTCGGCGTCGGGGAGCAGGTTTTGGATAACTACGAGGACATCAAGCTAGGCGAGCTGCACGGAATGGACGCGAAAAAGGTGAGTCGTGTGAGGTTGGGTGGATTGGGTGGGGTTCGTCGAACAGAAACAGCATGGGGGGTGGCCACGCAGGTCGCGCTGAATCCTCTGTTTGTGCGTACCTTCTTTGTAGACTACGCTTGTGACTGCTGTGTACGTTTGGTTGGCATCGATCGCTCTAATAACCTGCCGACCAACAGAAAAAACGACCATCTTTATGTCAGCCGGACAAAGGACGCAATCACGCCTTCTGGACGCGGGTTTACAAAGGGCGGGCTGGAAATAGGGTCCTAGCCTCCGCTCCAACATACGAAGCACGGTTTGATGGAGGATTATTTACTTTGCAGTACATCCCGGCCTATGCGTTTGGTCGATGGTAGTGAAGGCACACCTGCACGCACGCCCACTCGCACACAACACCGCCGTGTTTCCTTTTTCTGTTGTTGCCGTGGTGTTGTTTAGCATGCCGAAACATGTTTGTCTTTCTCGCTTTTCCTTGGTGGAAGTATAAACTCTCACCGCAGCAGGGGGCCAGAGATGAGAAAGGTCCATTTTCGAGTCGCGGTTCAATTGCTTTATCCATCATCGACAGGTTGTTGTAACTTGTTGCAGGTCCTCGGCTGGAAGATGTGGTTCTTACTTCAATTTTTGCGTGTTTTTCGTCACCATTCGAGCCTTTTTTTTCTTGGCGGCTTTTTTTTAACTGCGGGCCGCGCTCCTGTAGCATACCACGATGCTTCTCCAGGTCGTGGAGGCGATGCCCGCCGTCCGTATGCAGCCTCGGAAGGTGTTCGTGCACTGTAGGCCTTCGAACCTACCTCCGGACGGATGTACGCGTGTTATTTTCACACATGCAAAGCAACGGCCGCTTTTTCGCGCTACCCCCCACAGGAGGATGCATGGTCAATGGTCTAGCCGCCCAAGGCATACCGAACATAAGCACCCTCCCCCCCCCCNCCCCCCCCCCCCCCACCCTCATGCGTGGCCTCGCGAAATACCTCGCAACAATGTAGTGAAACTGCACCGTCGACTCCCCCGTCCTTTTTTCTGGCAACATACGGCGAAACTGTCTCGTCCTCTACCCGTGTCTCCCTCCCCTACCTTGGCTTCTACAGGTGCTCTTGATCGTGTTCGTGATGACGCTGCACTCATTCTCAGAGGGCGTGGGGATCGGGGTCTCGTTCGGGGGCGACGGGGGCGCGCGGCTGGGATTCCTTATCTCGGCTACCCTTGCTGTGCACAACGTGCCCGAGGGGCTGGCGGTGGCCCTGGTGCTCCATCCCCGCGGAGTTTCCAAGCTCAACACGGTGCGATGATCGATGTACTGCTGGGATGCTGATATCGGTATTTGGAGAACCAGGAGGCGGAGGAAAAGACCAG